GTAAATACTTAATCTATATTCATATCTATATTTATTTATATATTAAGTTGAAATTGTATAATGAAAGAAATGTATATAGAAAGATGGTAAGGAAATATAAAAGATGTCTTGACATTGATATAATGAGGTATAAAGTTTTATTTATGTTTTTTAAATAAAAAATAAAAACAACCAAAGTTTAGCAACAACCAAAATTCTAGAAAATTCACTCTACTTTTTGTAATAGTGTGAGAATAGTCCATTGCGGTTTGTTCATTGTGCATACCTTCCAAATTCAGAGAATGCTCTTGTCATCACTTTGAAAAGGAAATAGATCATTCTGGTGAACTATGCTTCACAGCTCTTGACATTATTTTTTCCTGGTTGGTTTCTGGCTTTAATAGCATTTTGCATGACACATAGAAATTACCAGATATTAAACTGACACATTTTAAAGGTTGCTTTCCCCATCATTATCTCCTACAAATTGACATTTTATTTTATTCTGTGGGGAAAATATTTCTAATGTTCTATTAGTATAGAATGCATTAATGAAATGGTGTAGGAGTTGATTACCTGCTTGTTGTGCTTTCAGTCAGAGAGAAAAGGTGGCAGTTTTATCTCTACTCCAGAAACTATTAAAACAACAAAGGGCATCCAGGTGGAAAATGATAAATTGAACACAAATAGATGCATGTTTTTAGTTAGAAATTCTGCACATCCTGGTCATTTGGTAATGGCAGAATAAATTGTTTGTGTTCATCTTGCGAGAACTGAACAATCTCTGATAAGTATGAAATGGCCATTTTTCCATCTACTTGCCCTTTTCCTTTAGTATTAAATTCTAATTATTCCCAAGTATGAAAGGACAACGTGTGTGCTGACGTGCGCTATGCAAGATGGTAGAAGGAAGAAGTCCTAATGTTACTTAGGGTGGGAAAAATGAAAAATACTAATCTGTGTAGTTGTACATGTTTACAGAGCAATATCTGCGGTTATGGGGAATGGAGAAGGAAGTCATTTTGCTATAGGTAGTCCTCAACTTACAATCATAATGGAGTCCTTTCATCATAAGTCATGAGAGTCATAAGCTGAGGCACTCATGAGACCAATTCAGTTTTATGACATTTCTCTATGATGGTCCATAAGTAAATACCATAGTGGTTAAGCAAGTCAACTCCTATGGGCATTTTTGCTGGAAATTGGCTTAAAAGACTGGTTTCTGGCAAAAAAAAAAAAAAAAAAAGTGATAATTCACAGCACTCATCAATGAATTTCCGCAACTGGTGGTAAAAGCAAACCAGTTGCCAAGCCCTGAAATGTAGTCATGTGACTGCAGGTGGTAGCCACCAATCGGAACTCTGAACTGGGTTGTAAGTACTTTGGGGTGGGGGGGAGTCTATTGTAACTTTTAATGGTCATTAAGTGAGACTACCTGTACCATTCACTATCTTCTCATTGACACTCTAAAAAATCGAATGCCTCCTCATGTCAGGAACTATTTCTAGCAATGATTTTAAAAAATTTCTGATTAGACTGATACATGCTAGGCATTTTTTAAAAGAGAGAGGGAAAAAGAGAGAGAGAGAAGAGAAGAGAAACTTGTTTCTGTGAAGCCAATTCTTTGGAGGGGACAAATTTAGATAACTAGGCTTCTTGAGTTCTTCTATTACTGTTGGGTTGGTTGTTAAATCTTTAATAACCAGTGTGGTTAAATCAAGATGGTAGTTGTGATGCAACCAAAGTTCACCTATGTTTGCATTTGTTGTAAGGTAGAGTTTCAGTCATACCATTGTAATTACCATCTTGACTTTTTTTTAACATATCTGTAGACATACCTGGTGGTTGCTATTCTCAGAGAAACCAATGAAAAAAGAGGTCATTGATGATGGAATAAACAAGATTGGGAGTCCAACAACTGAAACAAGTCTAAGGAACTGGTGAGCAGTTGAGCTAAGGCCTTGGTTTCCATAGCTGGTCCAAAATGTCACAACATAGACATAACATGGCTTGTTAAATGTCCATTACTCATACTGTAGTCTAAGGCAGGAAAGTCCACAGAGAGGAGTCGAGGCATCAGAATAACAGATACAAGTGGGCAATGGGGACTGCACTTCTTTTTATTGATGTATGAAGTGTGCAACATATATTAAAAAGGAGAGGATTTTCCATTAACCATTCTGGGGCATTTCATTGTAACTGATTCTTCAGAGAGCAAATTCTTGACTGAATCCAATCAATCCATATTCTATATAAAGTATCTTTTCATATTTGGTTTTATTTTTTAAAAAATATTTTGTTTGCTATCTAGAATTTGTTAGGATTGAAGAAATTTATCATTTTTAATAATAATACAATAAAAATAGAGTAGAGAAACTAAGCTGAATGAAAAAGATATAAGGAAATAGACAAAACTTTTAAAAGGTTACTTGAAAGTGATGCAAAAGGAGGGAAATTAAAATCAGTTTTAAATCATTCTCAGGATCTGTTGGCAATATCATTATAGGACAGTATGGCAGTTGAAGTTCCCCAAGTGTTTTCATACAATTGTATATGGTTCTGAACCCAGCATAGTCACTTCAGATGGGCAAAACCATCATTCCAGATCTAAATATTTTTTTAGATGAATAACTTAATCTACCAGGAGAGAAGGTAGATAAAAATAAAATAAAATCTACAGGAAAAAAATATATAATCACTGGCATCGCAATGCTGTATTTGGTTTGCAAACTTGTCTATTCTTTGGGTACTGAAACAATAGGCAGAAATGTATTTACTTTTTTTATCTTTGAAAACACTGTAATAATGATCCTTACAGAAAATGTGATGCTTTTACTATACTTAATTTAGGAGAAAATTTGATGGTTGCAAAATTTTAGGAATTGAAGTCTACACATCTTAAAGTTGCCAAAATTGACAAACACCATTCATCACAACACCATTGTGCTGTGGTTTAGAAGATCCATGAAGATCTGGTTCCTTACCCAAGCCTTTGGCAGGGAAAAATGAGATCATTCACTTCATCACGCTTGCTATCTTTTATCTTTGAGTCTTTTATTAATTTTACTGTAATTCCTTTGTCTGAATGTTGTAAGCCACACACTCAAATGAACATTAACTAGGCCCATTCCTGAAAGGAAAGAATATGCTCGGGGCACAGGAAACAGCTGCTGCTGAGCTTAGTTCCTTAAGCTCAGATGATCCAGGATGGTGGATTCACATGACTTCCTTACACCAAATGGACCAGGACAAATGAATACCTTCATGTTCCCAATAGACAGTGAAAATAGAAGTTTCCCTCAAATCCCTTACACAAACAAAATTCCCAAAGGTGACAAAATGAGAGGCTATAGCTTTTTGTGCTAATTTAAAAAACAAACAAACCAGAATGTTGTATACTATTTTTTGTTGCAAACTTTCTACTTTAATGCTTCAGCCACACTGGATTCTTCAGGAACAAAGGACTAGAAAAATCTGGTATGCCATGCAAAGGCAGCAAAGGACTGGAAGGTGGAAGCCATTATAGATCATCAGGATCAAGAGAAGATTGCATAAAAGGTCTCTTCTGAAAAATGCTCACTGCCATTGTGAGAATGCCTATTTTCCAAAACCAAGGCCCAGTGTGGCATTTCAGATCAGCTGAATGAAACTGGCAATTCAGCCTGGGATATATCATCAATCAATGGACTGGGACAAATGTAGTGCCTTATAGCTCTAATAGTTCCGTGGCAACAATGTGATAAAATCTAGGAGCTTATCCAAACAGGACAATAATTTTTAAAAATAAAATTCTGAATTATCTATCTAGATATCAGTGAAATACTCTGTCCATAAAGGAATCTGGAAAATTATAGTGATGACAAAGTGAAGCAAAGATAATCAAAAGATTATATTTGAGTACTGAATATTGTCTTAAAACAGAAAATGTTTGTGGCTGAAGTAGTTTCATGCTACTTTTATCTTCAAAGGAATTTTGTTTGATTGTGATTTTCTCTAATAATATGTGTTGTTATCATTGCATCTAAATATTGATGTTTATTGTTTTTGAATTTTTGAACAATTCTATTATGGCAGGCAGTGTGGAAGATGCATGAAAAGCAGGGAAAGCATTGAGGAACCAATGGACATGGTTTGACTCAGCTCTGCCAGTAAGTTCTCATGCCAGTGGAATTCATTTATTTTGCCTTACAGCCTAAACTACTGTTCATCATTGTGAATCCTCTGTTGTGGATTTTCAAGAAACCGTGATTTAGTACGATTTTTGAATCCAACTTTAAGCTGCCATAAAAAACATTGAGTCATTCAGGCCAATTCCAATCTAGTAGAGAAAAACCACAGCACCTTCAACAAATGTCCATCCAGCTTGTCCATGCAGCAGAGCAGTGCACTATCTCCCTAGAGGTTGATTAATTTTGACTTTCATAATAAACTTGCAATGGTGTTTTTTTAATCCAAGGTTTACGGGGTAGTATATTGTACAAGGGCTCCTATGGCTCCTTAAAAGAAACCATGCAGGGATGCATAAACCAAAAACTTAGGTGCACATAAAAACCCTAATATGTCCAAATATTGCCACTAAATTATAATGTTTAATGTAAGAGAAATTGAATGACTGGAGAATAATTATATGATTAAATATAACTTTAAATCAGATCATATGTATCTTGTCCCTATCAGCTACTTTTTAAAGTACAGCCTGGCATGCTATTCTGTTCCATTCCAAATGGAAACCTGGTCAAGAAGTTACTTTGGCCTCCACCTGTCCTCCTATTCTATCAGCAAAATATTTTTGTGTCAAAAACAACAACAACAAGGAATTGCAGATCTACTGGCTTCAAGAAAAGTAATTTTAATTAAAATAATCCTGCTATCCAGAAAGCAACATTAAAACATTGAGAAGAAGTGGGTGGGACAACATTGACATTAGAGGGTGTTGCTGAAGAACTATGGGAGGTTCTTCTTGAGTGGGTAGGGCCATCCCAACTCCCTGCTCTTTAAAAGAACAGTTTGCAAAGTTGGAAGAAGCAGAATTCGTGTTGCAAGTGAAGCACAGCTTGGACCGAACCTTCCCATAGGTAAGATAATGGAATTTCTGGCTTAGGCAAATTGCCAGACTAAAAATTATAAGTCATATCATACTTTCTCTTGTTGTGTCAGGGTTTCTATCTTAATTCTCCACAGAAATGCTAATTTAATTTAGAAGATTCGTTATTTTGGCTTATTAACTATGTATATGAGTTCTTTTCTATCTTTTGAAGCTTAGGTTGTTCATTAAATTGTACCAGCGCACAAATTTCTATGCTCTCTTGATAGAAAATTGTGAATGAGTCATTGATTTTTAAAAAACAAAATAAGATGGAAGATATGAATCAGTTTTAAATATTTATCATTCTATATTCCCAGGACAATTAGAGTGATGTTTAAATGCAACTTTACTCCAGCCTGCTAATCCCACATCATAAAAATTGGACATGCCAAGTAAGAAAAATGAGAATTGTTATCTCACACATACCCAGAGCATATCAGATTGGGCAAATGTGATTTAAAGAAATAAAGCTCTGGAAGAAGAAAATATTCACAAGAAACAGGAAAAAAATTATGAAGAATATCATTGATATTATAGACAGACAAACAAACATATCTGTATAAATTATATTTCACGTATCTGCATAAATTATATTGAGGGGGTTTTTTGGGGGGGTTCCCTTCAGAATATTAAGATTAATCAGAAATAATCTAGGTATAATATTGTGGCTCTAATTCAATAATGGACTGTTATTAATCTACTGTCTCATAGAAAATTGATGAGGACTTAACATATTGTCTTGTATGTCTAATTCTCCTATGCCTTCTCACCAGTTTTTTCCCCATCTTCTCTCTTACCCAAAAATCCATCAAAAAGAGAAAAATTAAATAGCCTACAGTTATGTTAATTAGTAATATGGGAAGCCATTCATCTTTTTAGTCCAATATTATCCATATACTGAGTGGTAGTGGTTCTGTAGATTTTAGTTCGACATATTTCCTATTTGACTGCTATGGAATGAAGAAGGAATTGTAGGCCTGTAAGGCTGGTGTTTTACCATTGAAAGCAGCCCTACCATCAATATTCAAAACAATTAGACTTAAAATTAATCAGAACAATTACCATTTGTTCCAATGGGAGCCACTAACTAGGAAAAGCTGGACTGAATCACGATCTTCTTTAAGGTGGCAGTATTCAACCTGCAATTTTTCTGAGATAGATGAAATCCAACTTAGCTTTTCGCCTTTTCTTCAATCACCACTACTGATGTTTCAGCATAACATCTTCCAACAACTCATCTGCCCACAATATCCCCAGTCCCCCCCTCAGTCCCCTTGATTCAGAATTACTATTACTACCGGTACTGATTTTCATGCACAGCATCACCCAAAGCCCCTTCAGTTTTGGCTTTTTTACTATTTTTATCTCACTAAACTTGATCAGAACAATTACATTTCCAACTGTTGTTGGAACAATACAATTTGATGTATATACAAATCAAAACAAATTATGCTTTCAAGGAAGGCCACCTTAAGCCAGCTATTTAGTACAAAAAACAATTCATGCCTTTTACATATATATATGGGAAATAATACGGTTTGCCATGCTTTCCTCTGAATCTTTTGAATTCCATCTCCCCACGAGTCAGCCAAACTCAAATAAGTACTGCCATGCTACTAAATAAGACACCTTCCTTCTGGAATATCCACTCCAGATCATCAGTCCATTCTTATTTATACCTCCTTATATTTTTCTTCCCTCATTTTTTTTTTTTTTTTTTTTTGCATTAGCAGAATGAGCAACTAGCAAATACACAGCCAGATTTTTCATGCAGTGGATGGAGGATTTGCAGACACATTTGAAATTCAAGCATGGTGATATAGTAGAAGGCGCTACATAACTTTTTAAAATTTTAAAATGAGTAGCAATAGCACTTATATACTGCTTTACAGCCCTCTCAAAGCGGTTTACAGAGTCAGCATATTGCCCCCAACAATTTGGGTCCTCATTTTACCCACCTCGAAAGGATGGAAGGCTGAGTCAGCCTGGTGGGATTTGAACTGCCAAATTGTAGGCAGCTGGGCTGCAGAAGTAGCTTGCAATACTGCACTCTAACCACTGCGCCACAGAGGCTCCTATATAACTAGAGTAACTAGAATGAAAACAAAAATTGCATTTTTCCAGGGCACAGTTTAGAAAATCTAGGCAAATTATCATTCTGGAGAGTGGACTGAAGAAGTCATTTTGGGGTTACAGGAAAAAGACCGGAGGGGATGGGCTACTCAACAAACAGCATTCTTACTTTTTTTTTCCCTAGACATGCATGGCAGGATGTTTGCTGGCCTGTTGCTGACCATTTTCCTCAGCATCAACATTTTAAGATCTGAATCTCAAGCAAAGGCTGTTCCAGGACCAGACAGGATGCAAAGAGGTGTGGGACTGGTCCGGCGCAACTGGCCGATGCAGCTGACTCAGGATCAGAAGCATTTGATCTCCCAGTTCTTGCCTCACCTGTATGACTGTAAGATAAATTGCACGTCCTCTTTTCCACTCTCTTGGAAGTTCTTCATTATGGGTTGGGGGACGTTACTGAAGAGGGTGCTTAGTAAGAATGAAGATAGGCATTGCTTTTCTTTTTGTATTAGCAACACCTGAATTGTAAATATGGTTAAAAGTTTGTAGAGATTCTCAGTCATTCAGGTCATGGTTGTCTCAAAGGTGATTTTTCAGGAGGCAACTGGACTTTCATGTTTTTTCTTTTGAAGATGTTTCGCTTCTCATCCAAAAAGCTTCTTCAGCTCTGACAGGATAACGGGGAATGGGAGGATTTATGTTCCTTTATAATTTATATTTATATTACCACCTATCTGCAAGGAATATAAATCATTCCATGCCTCACTATCCTTTCAAAGCTGAAGAAGCTTCTTACAGATAACAGATAATCAGAGTTGGAAGGGACCTTGTAGGTCATCTAGTCCAACCCCCCAGCTCAAGCGGGAGACCCTACACCATTTCTGACAAATGGCAGTCCAATCTCTTCTTGAAAATCTCAAGTGATGGCGCTCCCACAACTTCCGAGGGCAAGCTGTTCCATTGGTTGATTGTTCTCACTGTCAGAAAGTTTCTCCTTATTTCCAGGTTAAATCTCTCCTTGTTCAGTTTCCATCCATTATTCCTTGTCTGGCCTACAGGAGCTTTAGAAAATAGCTTGACCCCTTCCTCCCTGTGGCAGCCCCTCAAATATTGGAAGACTGCTATCATGTCTCCCCTGGTCCTTCTCTTTACTAGACTAGCCAAGCCCCATTTCTGCAACCATTTGTTGTATGTTTTAGCCTCCAGTCCCCTAATCATCCTGGTTGCTCTTCTCTGTACTTTTTCTAGAGTCTCAACATCTTTTTTATAGTGTGGTGACCAAAACTGGATGCAGTACTCTAGGTGTGGTCTTACTAAGGCTTTATAGAGTGGTATTAGTACTTCCCTTGATCTTGATTGTATCCCTCTGTTAATACAACACTTGCGTGTATTTTTGGATGAGAAGCAAAGCATCTTCAAAAGAAAAAACATGAAAGTCCAGTTGTCTCCTGAAAAACCACCTTTGTGAATGTGGTTCTTTAAGGCAATGGAATAAAATTTGATTTTACAGATGAAATGATGGCTGGAAGATAGTAATAAATCAAATTCTTGCTCAGTTTTCAGTCATTTCCCTCCTATCGTGCTTATTCTTTGTTTGTATTGTATTTTCATGGATTTAGTAATTTATTGGGCTCTTGTTTTAAAAGGAATGGGGGAGAGTTCTTGCTAAGGTGTAAATATCCTGTACAGGAGGATTACAGTTGATCTCATATAGAATTGACAAATAACCAGCTCCTGCTACTAACACTACTTGGTATTTTTCATTGCAACAGACATTCCTCCAAAAGTACATTTTAATGGATGTGTCAATTTATTTTTAATGCAGCTTTCTTAGTATATTAATTAACTTGCCTGAGTAATTTTTGAGGGAAGGAGTTTTTGTTCCATTATTACCTTGACAGGCAACAACATCTCTAGTTTTAATTTTCAAAATTCCAACATTACTTTTGTCTCTTCAATCAAGTAGCCATGTGAACAGCAGATTGAGGATAAAATTCAGAGTATATTCATTGCAGAAACTAAGTTTTAATAGCAACTGATATCACTGCATGTAGTAAGAAAAAATTAGTCTTTCTTTGTGAAAGTTCCCCCTTCTATTCCAAAATTTTACTTTGGAAACCAAACTTTTAATGACAGTTTTATTCCAATAGAAGAAAATATATGTAACTCAGGACTGAACTCTGGAGTCCTTAGTGCTCTCTGAGCTTGGCTATTTGCTTGCGGACATTTCATTACCTAGCTAGACAATAACATCAATGCCCTAACAATTTTACCACACAAACAGTCAAACCCACAGAGCACAAAGACTCCATGGTATTATTTTCTGGGATATAGAGAATCAAATGAATCGTTCCAAAGATTCAGGACGGTCAGAACCATTTTACCCGCCTTCCATTAACACATGTCTATTCTCCAACAGCTGAACTTGCTGCTACGGGAAATAATCTGAATGACGACGATACACATTTTCCGAACTGGATGGATTTTGGACGACGAAGCTCTGAAGATCAGGATGGAAATGCTTAAGTTACCCTGGGGCAGGGAGAGCTTAAGCCCCAGGCAAATGTCTGGTAGACATAGGCAGAAAGCAGACATTCTAAATAGTTATTTGATAATCATTTCTGTTCAGATAAGATGTGTTCGTGCCTATTTGTTCCAATAAAAATGATACTACTGCTACTGATAACTGCATTGGCGTGGTTTATAGATGGAAAGATTGGAGAGTTATTGGATTTGTCCATGGAACATTGTCCATGGGGTCACAATGGGTCAGACATGACTTCGCGACTAACAACAAGTGTATGCTTTCATGGCAAAATGTAACATATTTATGTTGTTCATACAACCAAATAACTTTTGCTTTGCTTTTTTAAACCAAAATTTTGCTATTTTTTTTAATCCTCCAAGCTTTAATCACCTGCTTATGTGTTATTAAAAAAGAGAAAAGTATAATTAGAAAATAAATATAAAATATATTGCTATTTGTATATGTTATTTGACATACTTGGATATGAATTTAAATGTATGTTAATTCCAGTGTCTGCTGTCCAAGACTAATTGTAAATGACCTTTTAAAAAATATTTATAAATTAGTTTTGGACTTAAGTGAATCTATCAGATATAGGGACACATACAGGTCTTTAAGCAGCCTCTCAAATGTTTTGTTTGTACAACCTGCTAAAATTGTCTGTGGCATGAACCCAACCAAATATGATTTAATAAGCAATTGCAATTAATCAAACTAGAAAAAAATAAATGGCCATTCTAACTTCAGTTTCCTATTAATCTAAGCAAAACATGCTGTTCCATACTATCAATAGGAGATCAAAAGGCAAAGCACTATAAAACATGGTAATGTTTGGGGAAAGAAAAAATACAAAAAAACCCCTACTCAAATATCCAAAATTATCCAAAACAGATCCCCTGGAAATCTATCAGCATGCCAATTCTGCATGATAATGCACAGGAGCTAGAACTTTTCAGTATGTTTTTATATTTTTTTGCAGGGAAAGATTAAGGAAAGTTCTTGGTGCTCTTTGAGCTTGATTGTTTTCTTGCAAATGTTTCTTTGCTTGCTAACACTGATGATGTCACCTAGTTTGGGTAATGAAACATCTGCAAGGAAACAACCAAGCCTCTAATATTTTCCCTTAATTCGACCCCACATGCATAATCAAGTCAGGACAAAAAAGTTGCATATCAATGGCAAAGCCCAAATTTTCAGGTGCACTGAATGAATTCCTTGCCTAAATGGATTACATCCCACAATTCTATAGAAACTGGCAGATGTCACTTCAGATCCACTGACTGAAAGTTTTGAGAAAGCCTGGAGCATAGAGGAATTGCCAGGAGACTTGAGAAAAGCCAATGCTGTTTCATTATTTTAAACCACGAAAGGAAGTAGACTCAGGAAACTATACAAATATCAACTTGACATTAATAACTGAGAAAATCCTAGAAAAGAATTTGTTTGCACACAAAATACAAACAAGGTGATTAGCATGTATTTGTCACAAAAAGCCCATACCAGACAAATCTTAATGGTTTCTTTGACAATGTGATTAGATGTTGGGACAAGGGAATACTGCAGATGTTATGTATTTAGATGTTATTAAGCATTTGACTTGTTAATAAAGTGGAACAATGTGGGATGGATGACCTCTCTACCCAATGGGATTCCCAGTTGCTGAGCAACTGAGGCCAACATGTAGTTCTTAATGGGTCTATGTCTGAATTAAAGGAGTTATGCAGGTTCTGTCCTTCAGGTTCTGTCCTAGGTTCAGTCCTATTCATAAATGGCTTAGATTTGGGGAATAGAAAGAATACTCATACAATTTACAGATGACATAATGCTGAGTGGGGGAGGGATTACTAACATCCTAGAAGACAAGCTCAAGATTCAGAAGGATCTTGATAGACTTGAACATTGGACCTTAATCCAACAAATCCTACTCAACAATGAAAAGTGTAAAGCCCTACACTTAAAAGAGGAAAAAGCAGTTGTGCAATCACATGTAGTTAGTTATCTGCCTTAGAAGCATTTGCAAGGATATTCTAGTAGGTCACAGATTAAGCATAAACCAGCAATGTTCTTCCATTGCCCAAAGAACCACTGTCGTTTTCGGTTGCATCAACAGAGGTATAGGGTCAAGATCTCAGAAAGTGATAATACCACTCTATTTTGCACAAATCAGACGACGCCTGAGCAACAAAAATGATATGGGTTAGGAAGCTAAATTCTTCAAACAGTGAAAGGAATTTGGTATGGTTAGCTTAAAAAAGAGAAGACATGATCACCCACATAAAAGGGTGACAGAGTGGAGGGTGGCAGGATGTGAATTTATTCTCAGAGCAGGGCCATGGCTATAGCCCATTGAGAACTAGGTTGTACAAACTAGGGGTGAATGAACATGTTGATGCATATTGCAAGTAGCAGGCACACCTACTCACCACTTGTGCAGAACCATTCCTTCTCCCTCCCCACCTTTGCCACTACCACCGTCAGTCTGCAAAGCCAGAAAAGTTGGGGACCATTGCTCCAGAGCACTCAACAATCAGATGAAAATCAATGGCTGGAAGCTTTACAGTAAGGAATCAAAACTTGAACTGACAGAATTTCCTGATTCTAAAATTCTATAATAAGTGTCTTATAAAACAGGATTTCTGCTTTGCTTTTCATAAAAACAGCAGCTGCAAGAAAGTTTATGATCTGTTGGATCATACACTTGAGTAAGAGATTGCTGAAATATCCACAAATTTATGACGTCTTATTTTTATTTTAAAAGAGCATTACAAAGCAAAGAGTGGAGCAGATTTTTAGAAAGGGGCAGCTGAGAAAAACATTAATTCAAACCAGGATTCTGACTACTACCATTTGCAACAAGACCAAAGGCCCTGCCTCAGTTTTCAAAGTTCCTCTGAAGGGTATACATCTGTTTTACTTTGGGTGTACCATTATACGGTTAAGATAGATTTGTTAGGCCAATTTTAACAACTTATAGAAGACATGCAAATTCATATGTTGCAGTTATCCATTGTATCTACTCTCCCACACATATTTTGATTTTACTTGTGTTTTTTTTTACCAGAAACTATGTTTTATTACATTTAAGTCAAAGTAAAACAAGGGAATTTTCATGGCTCTAAATAATAGAAGTTGTTTGTGCATGTAACTACTCAACCTTTGGTTTTTACATCTGGAATTTTTTTATTTTATGGCAGGGTAGTTGTGCTAAATTAGCTCCACAATGAGAATATACAATTTGAAAATATTATGTATGCTGATTTATGATTTGTAATTTAAGGTATTTGCAAAAATACATCTATATGGCAATTTATTACAAAAGTTACATTATAAAGTTTATGAAGCATCCAAGAATGATTTAAAATTCTTCTTTCTTATTTTTATTCTCTTCTGTGGCTCTTCAATTTGTGTTGTATTAAAAATATATTTTGCTTCTGGCAAACCCATCTTGAATTCTCAAAAGCTTAATTGAAACCAAGATAATACCATCCATGTCTGAATGCCCATTCAGAAAAAAAAGCTGAAAAAGAATGACTTGTCTGATTAATCAAGTATTAACCTAGCATTTCCCATCTTTCACAATCAGCATTGCCAATTAACCTATTATAATCTAACACACTTGAAGATAGTTCAAGTGTACATCTTTGGACTTCTGGGAATATTGGCTTTCATATTGTTTTCTGTCATTGTTTCTATCTGGCAGGTGACTTGCTCCAGTTTTATATTTTAACTGTTTTATTGTATTTTGATTTTTTTTTTAAAAAAAGAGATACTTCTTAACACATTTTGTGTGTCTTTCCTGAAGCCTGAAGAAAATTGGGGGGGGGGGGGTCGTTTTACCGATAGAATTAAAAACAAACAAACAAATCAGGCGTTTTTTCAACTTTAAAAAGAAAGAATTCCTGGAAGCGCCCCCCCCCCCCCCCTTTTTTTTTAAATGTAGGAACTATATCAGGGCGAGCTTAAGACCCTGCGGAATCCAAATCTGTCTGTCCCGTCTGCCTTCCCCCTGCTTCCCAGAGACTCCTGATGGGCCTCCAAGTAGCTGGTCTGGTCAGGGGAAGAGAGTCGCCGGCCGCAGAGTCGGCATGGAGCGGAGACGATGGCTGGCTCTCCTACTCTTAATAGCGTCGGCGCCAAGAGTGGGCGCGCAATACGAAAAATACAGCTTCCGCGGCTTTCCAGAAGCTGAGCTGATGCCTCTGCAGAGCGCATACGCCTATGCGTTAGAGCAGTACGAGGGCGAAAACTGGAGGGAGAGCATCCGCTACTTGGAGGCGAGTTTGCGCCTTCACCGCTTGCTCCAGGACAGCGAGGCGCACTGCCATAAGGAATGCGCGGGGAGCGAAAAGTTAGACACCGGCCCACTTTTTACAGAGCTTGCCAAGGGCAGCCCGTCTCCTTCGGAGCTGCTTCTGAAAAGCGACTCGTTTGCAGAGCTTGAAGGCAGCGCGGGATGCGGCGAAAATTCTTCAGGGGTCACGCCCGGCGAGGGTCTCCAAGACCAGGAGATGGAATACTTCGGGCTCGTCCTCCAGCGGGCCTCCTGCCTGAGGAGGTGTAAGGGCAACCTTCCTGTCTTTCAGCTCACCTACCCGCCGACCGAGACTTTGCGAGACTTTCAGCGGCGCACTCCTTACCAATATCTTCACTACGCGCTTTTCAAGGTGAGCATGGGATTAGGTAGGGAGCGCGCGCTTCGGGGCGCGTAATGCAGAAGCTTTGCACCATTAAGTATGGACGGTTCCAATGAGGCGTTTGCTTAGTTCTTGATGATTCTGTAGGCGGAGCTTAATCGATGTCTGGCATTTGGTTTCGCTTAACGACCATAATTGGAACAGGCAACTTGGTAACTGAGCATCGTTAAGACATAATAACGTGATTGCGGTGGGCTTGCAACCTTGTCCCGGTTAAGCAGGACAGTCTCATGACGGTGACTTGCAATTTTACTGCCGCTTCTCCATTGACTAGCTGTCAGAAGATGGCTGTAAAGTGTGCAAGGGGCAGTCATGGGACTGAGGAGAGCTGCCATGACTAAAATGCTTGCTGGTTGCAAAGCGCCCAAATCTCCCATCATGTGACTGTGGGAATGCTGAGAGAATCATAAAAGTGAAGACCAGTGGTAAGGTTACTTTTTCAACATCA